CCCCCCCCCCGGGTCTACTCGGAGCTCTCCTTCGGTGAGGAGATCAGCCCCTCTCCCTGAGAGTCATGCTGCGGTCCGTGACTCCTGTTTCCCAGGGTGCCAGTCACACCAGCTGTAGGCTTGTGTATTTGTCAGAGTCAGTCTCCTTGTTAACCTTCCAGTGGTAACGTGGGGACAGCTAGGAGACCTCGACTGAATGTCCGTGCCTGGGCCCCAGAGAGGTGTGGGTTCATTGGCAGCGGGAGGGGTGCCATCAGGTCCCCCCGCATCCCACCACAACCCTACTGGCTTCTGTGGCCCAGCCCGGGGGGAGGAGGGGGAGGCTGTGGAGCCGCTGGCTTCTGGGTCAAGAGGAGCCATCCCATAAACTTGGGGACTGCAGCCTCATGATCTAGCCTAGCTGGCCAGGGGCACTTTTAGGGCCATGTCTGTGATTGAGGAGGGGGGCGGAGGGGACTCCTGGAGAGACGTCAGAAGCCCTGATGGCCACCGTGATGTGTGTGTGAGGATGCTGGCAGCAGGCCTCCTGAGTCCATGCGACCTGGCGTCACTGCGTCCGTCCCCTCTCTCCCTCGTAGGACATCTGTTTGACCTGAGCTCTTTAAGTGGCAAATCCGGGTACACGGCCGCATACAGTGAGAAGGGGCTCGTGTACATCAGCGTGTGCGGGGAGAACGAGAACTGCTCTCCTGGCGTGGGTAAGTGCCGCGGCCTCCCGCTGTGGCCCGGCTGTCCCTGCCCGGAGGTGTCCCGACCTCTGCACTCCTGTGCCGGAAGAGAGGAGTAGATCCGAAGGTCGATCACCTTCTCTGCCATAACAGTCCGCTCACGTGGGGGAAACGCGTGGCCACGTGACAACATGTTAGAGACGTGACACCTGTCGAAACCACATTGGACGCTCAGGATTCTGAGCTTTAGCTCCGATTTAACCATCTGCATTTGCAGAAAGCGGTCCTCGGAAGGCCGGTCATCTGAATCCCTAATGGTGTGTTTTTCCTCCCCCTCTGCGTCCGGTGCAGGGGCCTGCTTTGGGCAGACCAGGATCAGCGTGGGCAAGGCGAACAAGAGGCTGACGTACGTGGACCAGGTCTTACAGCTGGTGTACGAGGACGGGTCGCCCTGTCCGTCCAAATCCGGCCTCACCTACAAGAGCGTCATCAGCTTCGTGTGCAGGCCTGAGGCCGGGCCCACCAACCGGCCCATGCTTATCTCTCTCGACAAGCAGACGTGCACACTCTTCTTTTCCTGGCACACGCCTCTGGCCTGCGAGCAGGTGGTGAGTCTGGGGCTGGGCACATGTGGCCTCTGAGAAGTGCCTGCCTGACGCCTGGGGCTGCCCGCAGCCCGGGGGACCCAGGGGGACCCAGTTCTGTCACGAGTTGCACTGCAGCTCACTGACCCC